GGTGCGTGTGCCTGAGCGCGTGTGCAATACTGGATGAGGCCCCGCACTGACTGTGGGCCTTGGGCACGTCTCCGGCCGCTGCGCCCGGGGACAGTCAGGAGTGAGATGCCCACTGCCTGGTTTCGACCAGGTGCCCGGGCCCCGTGGACCCCACAGAGACGTGTCCCATGCCGGGGCCTCAGGCTCTGTGCCGTGTGATGGCTCTGCGTCCCCGGGGCCCAGCCGCCCCCTGCCATCCCCACGGGGCAGGCGCCTCCCCTCTGCCGTGAACCGTTGAGCAGCCTTGAGATGGGGAGCACCTGCCGGGCGTGCGGGTGGGGAGGGAGGGAGGCACCCTGCCTGCCACGAAGCAGGCACATCCGGGGACTCACGGCCGGCGCTCCCTCCAGAGAGCCGCCCAGAGGCAGCCGAGTCCAAGCCAACACCTTGGGTCCGTGCCCAGGTGGGGACCGTGGGCTCGGAGCGGGCCGGGGTGAGCGGCGGGGGGCCAGCTAGCCGGGACGGAGGGGCGTTTGCAGGTGTGCTGGGAGGTCTCGTGGTGCCTTCTGCAGGCCTCTGTGCCGTCTGCCCGTCTGTCTGTCTGCCTGTCATCTGTCTGTTGGCCGAAAGGCTCTTTGGGGCTCTGGTCCACAGAAGGGCCCTTTGCTCTCGCAGCCAGGGCCCGGAGCCGGCCCTCTGCGCTGACGCCCAGGTGAGAGCGGAAGGCGAGACCAGGGGGGAGGAGCTCACCCCCGCGGCGCTGACAGGGCCAGCTTGCCACAGCTGGAGCCCAGGCAGCCTGGGCGGGGCTTGGGGCTCGCCCCATCGGACTGCCAGCGTCCCGCCTCCGCCTTGGCCCACGCAAGCGCCACGGGATGTGAACTTGGGGGAGATGCCGGCCCGGCCGCCCGGTGCCCATGGGCAGGTGGAGGTCAACGCGCAGGTGGAGCAAGGGCCGCAGGTGCCCACCGTTTCTTTCCTAAGCTCCTCCCTCTGCCAGTGACAGGCTCGCGGGGAAGCCGGGTCCCCGCAAAGGCCGGCCATCAGGAGGCTTCCCGGAGGCGAGGGGAGGGAGGGGCGGGGGCCTAGTCCTGGGCGATGGATCGGATGGGACTCTGTGACCAGCTCGCTACCCCCGTGGGGCCGGGCCCATCCTTCCAGGGCCTGGAGGGGCTCACACGGAGCTGGGAGCAGCTGGCAAACGTCCCAGCCCACCCTGGCCCTGGGACGCCAGCGGCCAAGCCGCCTCCCTGGGCTCTGCCGCCCCAGCTCTGTGTGGGGAGCACACGCCTCACGCCCCGGGTGGGTGGGTGGGCCCCTGGGCCGGGGCTCTGACTCAGCCCCCGGAGACTCAGCCCCTGGAGCCTCGCCCACCAGCCGTCCTGGCGGGCACAGGGGGCGTCCGGCGCGCGTTAGCCGTGGTGGCCCGTCCTGCACTTTCTCGGGGGCTGGCAACAGTGCGGGCAGCAGAGCAGCTTGGCCCCGGCTTTGGTCCTGGTGACGATCGCTGGGTCAGAGGGGACTGTCCACCGGGGCTCCACAGCCAGGCGCAGGGTGGCTCAGAGGGTGGGGCTCCTGGGGGGTCCCACATGAGCCTGGAAGGTTGGTTAAGTCATTGCTTACTGGGCACACCTCTCCCCCGACGACTTCCGTAGGTCTGAGTAGCCCCGAGGACTTGTAACTAGAAAGTGCCCAGGGATCCTGCTCTGCTCGGAACATGCGGGACTGGGTCTCCCGGTCTGGGACCTCACCCGGCCGGCCACAGAGGAGGAAGCTCTCCCCTGTGCCCTGCAGTTGGCAAAGGCTCCTAGCACTCCACCCCGGCTCTCCCGAGGCCAAATTCCCCTGCAAACAAACTGCTTCCTTTTGTAGAAACCTGAGATCTCTTTAAAATGCTAATCTTTCAAAGATTTGAAAGGTGGGGTTTTTTTTTTTCCCTTTTATCAGTGTCCTTAGGTAGAAACCAAGCTGACAACTTCTACTTAGAGTGGAATTGGACACCAAATAAAACCTGGGCGGGAGAGGAAGAGTGGGCAGGAAGGCTCTGCTGCGGGGGGGGCGAGGAGAAGTGGGCGGGGCCGCAGTCACCTCTTTGATGTGACCTGGACTGAGGACTTGGCCTCAGGGGCGGGTTGCTGTACCCTAGTTGGCATCAAACTCCCTCTGGGGTTTTAAGAGCTAAGGCAAGCCTAAAAGAAAGGAATGATTGTAAATATGTGAAATAAAAAACTTCTTTGGCTGGACCATACCAAAAGGGACTAGCGACTGTGAACACATACATGCCCTACGGTCTCCAGGCTGAAGCATGGAAAACAAAGTCCATTTAAAAAGTGATTGAAGCCTTTGTTACCGGTGGGAAGGAGCCCAGTCGCTGCTCAAAGGCAGGGAGGGAGAAGGGGGAGAAGAATGAAAGAAATGCTCCCCAAAGGTGTCAAATGCGACCAATAGCACGGCTCTGGAGCTGAGAACTCCGAAGGCCGAGCAGCACACCCGGAAAGGAAAACGCACGTAGCAGGGCAAGGAAGCGTGTCTGCGCGGCAAACAGGACGGGGCCGGCAAACGGGGAGCATCCGGGATCTGGGGAGCATCCGGGATCCCAGGAACGGCCCGGGGCAGTGCCCTCTGCCAGGGTCCCGGCCCACGGGGCTGGGCGGCACGGGTGCCCCTCCCGGCTCACCAGCAGGCCGCCTTCCCCTGTACCCTGGGGTCCCGGGGGCTGGGGTTCAGGGCCGGGCAAAGGGAATTGGTGGGCGGGGCACGGGAGGCACGTGACCACCAGTCCCAGCGGCCCTGCAGGCCCCGGTCCCGCCGGGTGGCAGGGATGCAGCAGCGGGCCCTCGGAGCAGGGCCCCAGAACCCCCACCCGGGACCACCGGGGATTTTGCAGTAAAGTCACAGAGTTAGGGTTTACGTTTCGGTCTGAGGCGCCGCGGCTGGGACTCTCTCTTCCTGCTTCCTGTCTGCGGCTTTCTCAGTTTGTCACAACATGTCGCGACTATAGGCTGCTTTGTTTCCTGTCCTGCCTCGGTAGAGCAGGTTCTGGGAGCGCAGGGACCTGTCTGCTTTGTCTCCCACGTGTCACGGGGCAGTGACCTGCGCTGGGCACGTAGCAGGGCCCCCCAAACACCTTTCTCTTTTGCTTGTGCGGCCGCAGGATAGGCAGCCCGGCCGCCATGCCCTGGGAAAGGGGTCCCGACACTCGAGAGCAGGGACCGCCCCGGGCGCAAGGCAGCCCAGGACAGGCCTTTCCGTTTCGATGAGTCGGCCCCGCGCTTACTCCGTGAGTGCCCTTCCGGCTCCGGGGGACCCTCCTGAGGGCCCGTGGCGGCAGGTCTAATTCCCGTGCCGCCCATGAGAGATGACGTCACGAACTGGACCCCGAGCTCCAGCTACTAATCCCGTCACCACCGTGGTGGGGGAGGGGGCAGGGAGCCCTGCGCTGGGGGCCAGCGGGCCGGTGCGGGACAACGGGACAGAGCACGGGAGACAGCGGAAGGCAGGCCCTGACCCCGACTCCCCGAGGCCAGGCTGTGAGGCCCCAGGCAGCCTCTCTCCTTTCCGTGTCCCCATCGCGAACCCGCCGTGTCCCAGGGACGCCTGAGCCGAGCGGGGCCTGACCCTGATTTCTCCTCTGCGGTGTCCCACCCCCGAGCCTGGCTTCGCTCCTGGCCAAGCACAACCTGCGTGTCACCGCCTTTTTACATCAACGTAGTCCCTTCGGTTTATTAAAATGTGAGCTTCAAAAGTCCAGCGATGCCTTCCCTAAGCTTTTAAGTCTGAATTGTAAACCTTATTCCGCATATAACAGACAAATTTTAATAGTCTCCTTCAAGGGCCTGTGAATAATTCTTGTTCCATTCGCTGCTGACGTAGCTCGTTTAACAGCTACAGGCATTTTAATTGCATTTACACAATGAACAGATCGAGGCTGCTGTCCTGGTGGCCCAGGTGCGTCCCTGTCCCAGAGGCATCAGCGTGGAGGCGAATCTCCAGGAACCGAGACACGCCAGCCTGCGATGAGCTTCGGGGTCTCCCGAACGCCGCACACAGCGAGGTTCACACGTGAGCCCTCCGTCTCTCCGTGTCTCACGTTCACACTTCCCACTGGATTGCCGGCGGGGGCTGCGGCCAGAGGCCCAAACGCTCTTACATGTGGCCAGCCCCCAAATGCCAGGTCTGGCACCCGCGCAGAGGCGCCTGCCCGCCGCTCCGGAAGCCCGTCCCCCCGAGACGGGGGCCGGTGGGAAGAGGGGGCTTCGTTCCCGAGAAGGTCTTCACCGCTGGACACAGGCGGGGGTGGGGGGTGGGGGGGTGGAAGGAGGAAGGAGGAAGGAGGAAATAAAAGCTGAACGAAGGACTAGGAAGGAGGGCACTGGGACTTCTCCGCCTACACAGTCTGCTCGAAAGGCGAGCAGGCATCTCAAAGCCCGCAAGTCTGAAGGTCACAGTCGGCCTCTTGTGAAATTGATGCCCGTAATTCCTAAACAAACAGATGGTTATCTGCAGCTGCCTGTGAGTTAGCAGGTCACCCAGGACAGGAGAATGTGAAAAAGTGCGCGGGGGCGGCGCTGGCTGGGCCGGCCTGGACGGCCTGGGTGGCCGCCCCCTTTCCCCTCCGAAGCCACCCCTCCTCTCCTCTTCAACCCCCCTAGGCCCCCAGGGGACGCTTCTAAACCTCTGCAGACGTGAAGCCCACTGTGTACAAAGGATGCCCGCCCCATGCCGCCGGCCTTGCCGCCCTGGGACGGCCCTCACAGGCCAGTGTCCACTGTGCCGTCCACGCAGAGGGTCTCTGAACACATTGGCCCGCGGGCGGCCCCTCGTGGGGAAGAGGGTGTTTCCGTCGAGGGGAAGCTGGGCTCCTCCAGCAAGCCCGCACGTTGCCGACGGTGCGGAGGGTGGAAGCAGCCGGCCTCTGAGGCCACGCCACCTTCAGTGCACACCGCAGGCTACGGGCAGGACGTGCCCGCCCCCACCCCCCGAGGGTGACAAAGAGCTGGAGGCGGGGCTCCCGCAGCCCGTAAAGGCAGGAGCTGCCCGCGGCAGCCACAATCCGAGATGCAGCGGAGCCGAGCGGCCGTGGCCCTGGGGCCCATCATCCTGACCTTGGCCTTCCTGTGCCCTGCAGCCTCGACGGGGGACACCTGTCCAGGTGAGTCAGGCTGCAGGTGAGAAGGACGTGACAGGGGTCGGGTCTCAGAGCTGACACTCTCCGCCCACTGCCCCGGACGGTGCACCGGGCCCCTGCTGAGTCCTTCGTGAACACTGTTCTTGAGACCTGCGGTGGGTCGCCGCCTGCCGGGGGACCTGCCTCCGGCCCCCGAGGAGCCGCCGCATCACAGCCCCGCGCACAGGCGTGGAGACTTCCCAGCCCAGGAGATGGCCCAAGAACTCACACCCAGCGCTGTGGGACCTCCAGCCGGAGGCCTTCCAGCCTTTGGGGACAGCAATGGGGAGGGGGCCGGGTGAGGGCATAATGGCCCCCGCGGGCTCCCGGCCACCTCCGATGCCCAGCAGGGCGCGCCGTGGGTTGGCCTCGCCATCCTCCGGGGCTTCCCGATCAGGTGGCCCTTGACCCCCAGCGGGGGAGAGTGCGGTGCCCTGGGGCCAGGTACCCGCCCCCCAAGGGCCCCAGGCCTCCAGCGCTGGCTGCCCGGATAGGGTGGAACAGGGAGAAAGAGGTGCCACCAGTGAGAGCGGAGAAAGGACCGGAGAGAGCGGCGCAGGGGCAACATGGGCCGCGCGGCCGGTAACCCTGAGAGGCGGGCAGGGGGACGGGTCATTCCCTTCACTGCTGAGTCTTATTCTCTATTTGTCTAAAATGACCAACTGTTCACTTTTGATGAACAAAAATTAAGAAAATTTAAATGTGGAGACCACCTTGGTTCTGACCGGTGAGGACCGGGCGAGAGCAGCCCGGGACTCCGAGGGAGGGCTCTGCGTCTCTCCAGGTCCCCAAGGCCTGTCTTCTGAGGCCGATTCAGTTTTGGGATCCACCACTTAAACTCAAGGAGTGGACAGATCTCCGGTTCCGGTTCTGCCGAGCTGGCCCTGTGCCCACGGACCCCTCCCAGCTAGGGCAGGTCGAGGTCACGGGCCCAATCAAAGGGGGGGCCCAAACCCCCCGACTCCCTGATACACATTGGCCCTTCATTGAAAGTACCCATCATGCACGAAACTCTTGCTAAAGGTCAGGATGACCCTGAGACCTGGAAACGGGGCGCGAGCTAGTGCCTTCCTCCCCGAAGCCTGAGGCCGGGCCCCAGGCCGCAGACAGGCACAGGGGCCCCGAGGCGCGGGCCACGCGCCCCAGGACCGGCCCCAGGGGCCCCTTCCCCTCGGGCGGGGAGGACGCCAGGCCGGGCGCCGCCGGGCACCCGGCGCGGCCTGCCCGGCACCCCGGGGAGGGGAGGACGGACGGGCCCGGGGCAGAGGCGGGCACCTCACTTCCTGCCCACCCCCCAGGTGCCTGTGGGGCCGAGGCACAGGGAGGCACACGCCCTCGGGCGGGGCCTCGGGCCGGACGCACTGACGGCCCCGCGTGCTCCCTGCAGAGGTGAAGCTGCTGGGGCTGGAGGGTGCCGACAAGCTCACCATCCTGCGAGGCTGCCCGGGGCTGCCCGGCGCCGCAGGGCCCAAGGGAGAGGCAGGCGCCGCTGGAGGGAGAGGTGAGCGCGCCGGACGGGGGGCCGCGAGCTCTCGCCCTTGCCACGGGGGACCCGGGGGGGTCCGCGTCCCCGCGGGTCTCGGGGTGGGCGACGTGGGTCTTGCCCTGCTCAGAGCCAGCGTCCACCCGGGGCCTGAAAATAAGAGCCGGGCCCCTAATATTTTATGAGCTCCCACATGGGCCGGTCTCCACGGACTATTTGACCCGGTGCTGATCCTGCCAGGCCTGCGGGGTGTAAGGGAAACCAGCTGCTGGCGACATCGCTTTGGAGGCAGGACGCGCCTTCGAAGAGGCGTCCGGGCTCGGGGGCCTCCGCGTGAGGCCAAGGGCCGGCCCGAACGCACGGAGGGCCCAGCCCAGGGGCTCGGACACAGAGCGGAGCAGGCTGCCCCCGCGGGGACCGCCGCATCGGGCGCTCGCCACGTCCTGCACGGGCCTGGTGACAGGGCCTCCGAGGACGCGCTCCTCGTCCCAGGTCCCTGGCGAGCTATAGAGCTCTGTGCAGGCGGAGGGACCTGGGCCCGCTGCCCAGAGGTCCAAGGCTGGAGCCCAGGAGGCACGCCGAGGCGCTGGCCGATGCCCTGGGACCCAGTCCGGATCGTCCCGCTCTGCACCGAGCTGCGGGTGCTGTGTCGCCGCCGGAAAGGTCCGCCGCCGGGCGGTGCCGGGGCCGCGACGCCGAGGACCTCGGGGCTGGGGGGACGCTCAGGCTTCATCCTGGGAAGGTTCCCAAGGAGAAGGGCTCGGATGCGCTTTCCTCAGGCTGCGTGTTTGGAATTTGCAGGAGAACAGGGTTCCCCTGGAGCACCTGGGAAGGCGGGGCCGCCAGGGCCCAAAGGTAACCGCGCGGCAGAGGCCAAATCCCCGGGGTGGGGGCCCGGGACTGTCTCCCTGGCCGCCCGACAGGGTGGAACAGGGAGAAAGAGGTGCCACCAGTGAGAGCGGAGCAAGGGCCAGAACGAGCGGGGCAGGGAGACGAGAGAGACAGACTGGAGAGACGGGGACACAGAGAGAGAAGGAGACGGGGTCAGACGGAGAGAGACAGAGAATGAGAGAAGGGAGGGAGGGCGGGAGAGAGACAGAGGCCCAGAGGGACCCTGTCACGTGCTCCAATCCAAGGCGCCTGCACATGGGGCACGAACTGAGTCCCAGGTCCGGGGCCGCGGGCGGCGGGCCAGTTCCCCGCGGCCCGGGGAGGAACCGGGGCTCACGGCGCCCTTCCCGTTCGCCCGTGGAGGTCCCGGCACGGTCACGCCTACGGTCACGCCTTCGTAGCTGACCGAGCGATGAACTGGGAGCAGCGGACTCACGGCCCGTCCCACGCGCCCGCGGGGCAGCAGATCAGTGCGTGGTGTCCAGAGTGGATATCAGTGTCCCACAGACCCGAAGTCCTGGCATCAGCTGTCCTCTTGTCCCGTCTTTTCCAGGTGACCGCGGAGAGATGGGTGCACCCGGAGAGAAGGGTGTACGAGGAGAGAAAGGTGAGTCCCCGTACCTGCCGTCCTGGGCCCCCGGCAGGCTCTGTGCAGGGGAGGGCCCCCCAGAGGCCGCAGCCGTGCCCAGTGCGGTCCCCTGGGGGAGGGACTCACATCCCCCTCCCTCCGGGCAGCAGTGAGGGGTCGGGGGGTGTATGGGCCATGTGGACCTGGGGGGCAGGGCTGACCCGCGGCCCCGGTCGCCCAGATGCGGCGGCGCCGACTCGCACAGGCGTGGCCCGACGCCCCGGAAAGAGAGGGCGGGACCCGCTCCTTAGGCCGGCCGCCGCGTGTCCTGGGAAGATCGTTCTCTCTCGGGGTCCATGGAGCCAGTGGGGCTGAGGAGGTCGGGGACCCTGATTTCCAGTGGGTGAACACGTGTGTCCTCTCTCACAACACGCAGGAGACTCCATACAGTCCGAGACCTGCGCCACAGGTGACTGGCCGTGCCCCTGCCTCGGACCTCAGCGGGACCTGCTCCCGGCTGGGGGGCGGGGGTCGACCAGAAGGCCAGCTTCACCGACTGCTGGGCAGGGCCCCGATGGCCCTCGGCCACGTTCACCCCTCAGCGTCGCGAGGGACAGGCGGCGCGCGCTTAGAGGGCTCTAGTGTGGCCCAGGGAGGTCTCCTGGAGGCACGGACACCGGTCCCCGGAAGGCCCGCAGCCGGGCATACACACGCGGCGCCCCAGGGTGGGGGTGCCCCGGGGCGCGGGTTCTGTGGGTCCCAGGCTGGGAGGCGTCCCCGCCCACGCACACACTCACGGCCCGGCCCCTCCCGCCCCTGCCCCTGCCCCGGCCCCGCCCTTGCCCCGGCCCCGCCATCCACATCCCGGCCCCTCCCCAGGCCCTCGCAACTGCAAGGAGCTGCTCACCAGGGGGCACTTCCTGAGCGGCTGGCACACCATCTACCTGCCCGACTGCCGGCCCCTGACCGTGCTGTGCGACATGGACACGGACGGCGGGGGCTGGACCGTGAGTGCCGGGCGGCCGGGCGGCCGGGCGGCGGGCGGGCCGGGCCGCTGCGTCGGGGTCTCTCGCCGCCAGGGTCGGCCTGGCGAGAGGGCCCGCGCTCGTGGCCTGTGCCCAACTGTCCAGTCCCAGTCCCCTCTCTCGTCCGCCCCCGCTTTTGCCGAGGACGGAGGGAGCCAGAGAGATGGTGGGGTGAACCCCGGGTGCAGGACAGCTCCGGGAGCCCCGTCACTGAGGACAGTGCGGTTTAGGGCGTGTCAGCCCCCTCTCTGAGCCTCTACCCCTCCTGTGTCACTGGGTGGGGGGCACCGTCTGGCCGCCCCGGGTCTGAGCGGAGGCGCGCGGGTAGCTCGGCCCTGCTGGGTGACCACGGGTCGTGCCCCGCCCCCCCGCCCCCACAGGTGTTCCAGCGGAGGAGCGACGGCTCCGTGGACTTCTATCGCGACTGGGCCGCGTACAAGCAGGGCTTCGGCAGCCAGCTGGGCGAGTTCTGGCTGGGCAACGACAACATCCATGCCCTGACCGCCCAGGGTAGGCCGCGGCCGGGCCCCTGCCTCGACCTCAGCCCGGGGCCGCGGGGGAGAGGAGACGGCCGCGCCCCCAGCTCTCGTGCTCTCTGGGCCCAGCCGGGGCCTGTGTCCTCCTAGACGCTGAACGTTCGCGCCAGGGCGGGTGGAGTATCGGGGTTCCCCCCACGCCCAGCCTTGTCCGCTAAGCGGGGTTTCGGGTGGAGGGAGACGGCCCCCACCCCGCCCTGCCCGCCCGCGGGGGCCCCCCGGCAGCATGGAGCCAGCACCGCCTCTTCACCCCCGGGCTCACCTGCCAGGGCCCCCTGAGGCGGCCCGTCCTCTGCTGCCTGCCCCCGGCCCGAGGCCGGGCCCCCCGCCGGCCCTCCCAGGCGGAGGGTGGAGCGGTTTCCCACGCTGGCTGTGAACGAAGTCACAGCCGCTGCCGGGGCGGGAGGGGGGCGGGGACGACAGCCTGCGGGGTGCCACCGTCCTCCCAGTGACCTCGCGTCGGGGATCTGGGGCCCGGCGAAGCACCCCCGGGAGGCACGGTGCCTTTCTGGCCCTCACCAAGGGCTGGCCCTGTGGCCCTGAGGCACTGTGCCTCGGGTGCCAAGGCCCCGTGCTGCCCAAACCTGTCGCCAAGCTCGGGAGGCAGGGGTGCCCTCCGGCTGGGCCCTGAGCGCTCTGTCCCCAGGAACCAGCGAGCTCCGCATCGACCTCGTGGACTTCCAGGGCAACTACCAGTTCGCCAAGTACCAGTCGTTCAGGATGGGGGGCGAGGCCGAGAAGTACAAGCTGGAGCTGGGCGCCTTCGCGGGGGGCAACGCGGGTGCGTGTTTGACGGCGCGGGGGGGAGGGGGCGAGGGGGCGGGGCGAGCCCGCCGGGCGTCCTGGCTCCGCGTCTTCTGGGCAACGCAGGGCGGTGGCTCCGCCCGGCCAGGCGTTCCTCATCCGCGCGTCTGTCCACACGGCCTCCACCTACTTGTCCCCGCGAAGATGACATGGGGTAAAAACGTCCGTGAGGGGTGGGGTTATTCTTCACCACCTGCGGTGACGAGGGCGGGGATGGGGGTCATTGTCAGCCCCACCCTGTGGCGCCTGAGGGAGCCGGGCCGCCCGGGCGGTGAGGCCTGCCCCCTAAATGGCGGGGCGCCCGCCAGCCGGGGGGCTCAGGCCGGCCGAGGGCACGCGGAAGCCGCCGCATGGGCGGAGCCGGTGTCCCCAGGGCCACGTGAGCGTCTCCCTTCGGCTCGGCCGGGCTCCTTAGCGCAGCGGGCAGCTCCGGCCTGGGCCCGCTCCCGGGACCTCCCAGCGCTGTGTGTACATGTCTCCCTTTCCCTCCGAGCAGGTGACTCCCTGACGGGCCACAACAACCAGGCCTTCTCCACCAAGGACCAAGACAACGACCAAAACCCCTCGAACTGTGCGGAGCAGTACCACGGGGCCTGGTGGTACAACAACTGTCACGTGTCGAACCTCAACGGTCGCTACCTGGGCGGCGGGCACAGTAGCTTCGCGAATGGCATCAACTGGCATTCGGGAAAAGGATACAATTACAGCTACAAGGTGTCGGAGATGAAGGTGCGGCCGGCCTAGGGCGGGCCTGGCCGGAGAAGGCTGCCTGCTCCGCACCGCCGGGCCCCGCGGCTCCGGGGAGCCTCCCTCCCTCCCGGACACAGGCTCCGCGCACATGCTCATGATCCGCTCGCTTCATCCCACCTGCCCCCCGCCCGCCCACGGCCTCCCCAGAAGGAGGAATGATGGTTATTGAAGTGCTTGCTTTCTAAGAGACTCATTCTGGGGTGGTCGTTTCTTTGCCTCGTCCCCGCCCCATTACCAGGCGGTGGTCACTTTGAGCATTTTCCCTCACTTGTCCGGCAGCGGCTGCCCCTGTCCTGGCTCCGTCTGGGAGAGCCAGGGTCCCAGGGCGTAGCCGTGATCACTGGTGTCCCTGAGGGCGGTGGCTTTTCCGGGGGCAGCCGTCTCTGACACAAGGTGATGCTTCCCTCATCCCAAAGGCTCATGCTCCCTCTCCTGACTCACAGCATCTTCATACATCTTTCAAAAAGTCACTGTGAGCCTAGAAAACTCTCATGAAAAGCAGGAGAAGCATCCCTGGCTGGTGTGGTGCAGTGGGGCGGGCGTCATCCTACAAAGCAAAAGGTCGCTGGTTCGATTCCCAGTCCGGGCATTCACCTGGGTTGCGGTGCGGTCCCCAGTTGGTGCATGTGAGAGAAGCAACCAAGTGATGTTCCTCCCCGTCTTTTTCTCCCTCCCTTCCCCTCCGTCTGAAAATAGATGAAAGGATAGAATCTTTTTTAAAGGCTGGGGTGGGGGAGAATGAAACAGGGACTCTTTTGGTGCCCTCAGGGTAGAGTGGGTGCGCTGGGCCCGCTGCCCCCTGAGAACACCCCGCACTCCGGTCCGTGAGCATCAGCGACATGGGGTCCGCTGGCCATCCGCACACGGAGGGCAGCCGCAGCCCGACCCCAGCCGCAGGCGCTGAGCTCCATGGCGCCCGCACACCCGGCCGTGTGACGATGGCCAAGCCTGCAGAGGTGGCGGGGGAGAGCCCTCTGTCTCTCTTAACTGGGCCTCAGAAAGCCCAGGCGTCCAGGGAGAGACGGATGCACGTGGCCACAGGACAGCCGAGGCATCTGTTTACCGCAAACCTTCAAAGGCTAAAAGGGAAGCCGCAGGAGGACCGGATCTTCCAGGAACATGGAGGGATTTGTTTTCTGTGGCTGTGGCAGCTCGTCACCCCGAAGTCAGAGGCTCAAAACAACAGCAGCGCGCTCACCACTCTGAAGTGTGACTTGGGCGTCGCTGGGCTCAAAGCAGGACTGGCTCCTTCCCGGCCCAGGGAGAGCCGGTGTGTGTGCCCCTTGCAGCCTTGGAGGCCGGGGCGCGAGGCCCCTTCCTCCAGCCCTGGAGCCGGCGACAGCGTGCCTGTGACCCCGCTTCCGAGGCCATGTCTCCCGCTGAGCACAGCCAGGAAGGGGCCTGTGCCTGGAAGAACTCGTGGGGCTCGAAAGGGCCCAGGGCAATTCAGGGTCCCCTCCCTGACTCAGGCCCTCCAAGCAGCCACACCTGCCCAGCCCCTTGGCCAGGCGAGGTGGCGCCGCTGGTTCTGGGGACCAGGGCAGGACGTCTCGGGCAGGACAGGATTCTGCCTACCACAACCTATGTTTTTATTTTAAAAGTAGCTTCCTATCCAGAATAGTTGAAGAACTCCAACAAGTCTATAAAAAAAGGATAATTGCTCAGAAAAAGTGGATGAGAGGTTTAAAAACTCGTTGCAAAAGGAGACACCGGCGGGACCAAAATACTTATGGAAAGTTTCTCCATCTTATCAGTTCTCGGGGGAATGCACATTATAACCAAATGAGAGTCCTTTACACAGCCCTCTGATCCTGATGGCTAGGGTCAGTGACTGACGATGCTGCGTGTCGGGGACCCGCTGCCGAAGGGGACCCCCATCTACCTCCTGAGCAATGCGAATCGGTGCTACCGACTCAGAAAAGAGTTGGGGACTCCTTAATATTACCGAAAGGGATGCACATTCCCATAAGCTGGCAAGCCTGTGTCCTGACATGGAAATCTCTGTCGTGTGCTCGGGGGTGTGGCCAAACCCCTCACGCTGGTCACGCGGTGACACCCCCCGAACACCGGTGGGAAGAGGGGCGTGAGAAACGCCAGGGCTTCCAGGCGATGGAGCACCGCCCAGCGCCGCCCAGCGCGCGGCGGCCGAAAGCAGGACAGAGCACCTGAGGAGCGCGAGTCAAGGGCGCGTGATGTTGGCTCCTCGGCCCCTAGAGTGGTTTTCAAAATTAAAAATAGCCCGTGGCGTTCAGCGCCTAACTGGACAGGAGAGCAGAGGCTGCTGCCTCTGGGAGCAGATGGGCGCGGGGTGAGGGCCGGGCGGCCACGGCGGGCCGGGGGGGTGCAGGCGCTGCGCTACTTCTCCTCCTGCGTGGTGGCCACACAACGATAGAAACTTCACGTGGCGCTTTCCAAGTACACCCTTGTGCGTGCGTGTCACACGTCAGAAACGACTTGTAGGGGGAGGGGAGCCAGGGAGACAGGCTACCGAGCATCTCAGGTGACGCCCGGGGCCTGTGACTCGGGAGCTGTGCGGAGGGGCCCCTGCAGCCCCCCACCCCGGGCGGACCCGACCCCCCCAACCCCAGCTCCTAGGACGGCGCTTTCCGGCCTTAGCAGATCAGCATCTTGTAGATGCAGAAGCCTCAGAGGTGAGCCTGGAAATGGTGCGTGTGGTAAAGGCCGTGGAATTGTGACTTTTGCAGGAAGGGGTCTGGACGGGTGTGGTATTTCATAGTCTTGCGATGTGTAAGAATTCGGCCTATTATGGATGACGTCGCAGAAGTCTGATTTTCAGCGCGTACCCAACGCACTGGGTCTTGTCAGGTCAAGCGGCTGTTTCCAGGTTTTCTTGTGGCCTAGGGAGTCCCGCTAGGATGGGCGGGGTCGGGGGCGGGGCTTCCTGGGAGCCGCCGTTCACGCCCCTCCCCCAGATACGCCAGGTCCACGAGGGGCACTTGGTTGTTGTGGCCACATCCCACGCCTCCCAGGCTCTCTTTTCTGCGTCTTCAGTCGTTCTTCTTGCTCCACGTCCCAGCTGGACGTTGCCTGTGTGCCTCGGAGGGAGGTCGCTAGCACGGCTCTGCCCCGCAGGGCTGCCGGGCTCCTGGCCGGCGCACGCCCGTCTCCGGGTTTCCAGTTCCGTGGCGTCCGACCCTGGTCGTTCCTCCGGCTCACGGTCACCGCGAGGGCTTACCAAGAGGACTTCTGAGGACCTCTGAGCTTCGCCCGCTACTTATTTATCTTAAAGATTTTATTTAGTTATTTTTAGAGACGGGGGGAGAGAGGGAGAGAGACGCCCCTGTGTGGTTGCCTCTCACACGCCCCCTGCTGGGGACCTGGCCCGCAACCCAGGCCTGGGCCTTGACTGGGAACTGAACCAGTGACCCTTCCGTTTGCAGGCTGGCGCTCAATCCACTGAGCCACACCAGCTGGGTCTGTGTTTTAATTTGTTTTCACAAGGACGTTCGGTTTGGTCCTGACCGGATATGTAAGTCCACGCTTCCGGTTCATCGGCCCATGGCCCCACGTCCCCGAGCCTACACAGTGAGCATTTTTCAAATGGTCTCTTCGTACCTGTTTGAGGAAGCAGTCGTTCTGGGGTGGATGCTCATCAAGACGCGTATCGGTGATTCTGCAATGAGCGCTTTTGTGTACAAAGCTTTTTCTGACCTGTGGAATTTTCTCAAGAAGTCGGTTCCCCGGGGAGCCTGCTGACTGAAAGAGCAGGGACTTTCTTCCCGGGAAGGGACGCCGTTTGGGAAAAACCCCCATCACCAAGCAATAATTTCTTTAAGGCATGGAGATAGACGCTATAATTACCTTGATGCTGATCGAACATTTTGTTAATCCTTAAATTGACTCTTGATTTGGATCACCTGGGCCTGTTCTCTGACGCATGGCCAGAGGAACAGGCGACAGGGGGCCCATGAGCCTGGACGGGGGGCTGGGGAGAGGCTTGGCGTCCCCTCCGTCCGTTCCTCCTTTGGGTCATCGTGAGCGTCCGCGAGGGCCCCGGGGGGTGCTGTTTTCTGGGCCTCCCCAGGTGGCTCTGAAGGTCAGCCAGGCTGAGGAACCACGGCGGGCCGCTTCCCTGGGCCAGGGACAGGCCGGGCCCCCTGGCCCGGCGGAACCACAGCTGCGTGAAGGCGGCAGGGCGCAGGGAGGGGGAAGACAGCCAGACACAGGGTCGCGGACCGGACCCGCCGCTCGCACCACTGGGAGACCAGGGCTGCGGGCCCAGCGCCGCTCTCAGCTCAGGCAGCCAGGCGTCACCAGGCCTCAGAGGGGGCCCGCGCTTCGGACACTTGGGGGCCCTCCGGAATTATGCAGCCACTGCACGGAGGCCTGGCGAGCCTGGCCCACCCTCGGTGGTCGGTTCTTCAGTTCCGGTTTGTTTTTCGAACGTGCCTTCCGTCCTTGCCCGCCAGGCGCTGGCCACAGGCCCAGTGGAGGCCCGTCCTGAGGGTATGAGGGCAACTTTGGGCTTCCCGCCGGACGGGTCAGTGCAGCCGAGAAACGGGGCCAGCGCTGGCGAGAGGACGGGCTGCTGGTGTCGCCGACAACGTCCCAGGCCGCCCTGCACACTGTCCGAGGCAGCGGTGGGCTTCTCATGCCCTCGGGGCTATAAGAAAGGGCCCCCGGGGCTGGCAGGCACGATGGAGGCACTGACCCCTGCTCCGCGGGAGGCCACGACCCTGAGTAGCCGCACCTTATTTCCGATCCTCAGATCCGGTGATTTATGTTTCAGCCCCATGAAAACGGAGAGCAGCCCTCTTGCCGTGGATGGCACAGGACTCGGGGCCCGTGCTTCCGGCTTCAGCACAGACAGGTGTCCCAGATGGTCCCTGGCTCTCACGTCCTCCTGGCGGGGACTTCTGCCCCACACCGGGGTGGGCGCTGGGGCTCCCAGCCTTCTGGGGGCTCCAGGAACCCGATCGCTGGCCGTCCCCGAACCCACATGGCCGATTAATCACCTGACAATGACAACCAAATTAAACAGCTCAAGTGTGGCTGACGACATTGATCGGAGGCTAAGTTGGCTCAAAGCCTAGCAGGCCTCAGGGCTGGGACGGGAACCCAGGCTTCCTCCCCCGGCCCCGCTCCCACATCTGGCCCTTACCAGGCCGCCTCTTTGTCAAGGCCAGTGACAGCCAGCGGTTTTAACAAGCGGCTCTCACGTGCCCAGGGCCGGAGCACAACACAGGTGTGCGCCTGGCAGGTCGTGGTCTGAGGCGGGGCCTGGGCGGGGCCAGCCCACACTCCGGGACCTGGGAAACCTGACCCTTCTGTCCTCTGGCTCCTGTCCCCTCTTCCTGAAGACGCATCACACTGGATTCCAGATTCATTTGCCCCCTGACCCCGCCTCCCTGTCCCCTCACGGCAGGAAGGCTGACCTTGAGCTCTCCGGTGGGGCAGGGAGGACAGTCCCCTACAAGAGGAGTCGCCCTGGTCCAACAATACTCCGTGGGCCTTCGGGGCACGAGGGCTTTGAAAACCCTGGCTCTTTCTAGCTGGGCTCTAGAACATTCTCCCTACGGCCTTGGCTCCCTGGACGGCTTATTTTTCCCGCCTGCACAGGGCTCCGCTCTCTCCAAGCCCTTCTTTTCCTGGGAGCCCCTGGTCAGAGGGGGCAGGCGCACACGCTGCTGGCGCTCTGGCTCTCAGACCTTCCCTGGAGCCCCAGAAGACCTCCGTGGAACTGCCTGCCAGGCGATCGGAGGTAAAGCTTCTTTTAAAAAGATCCTCCCCTGAGGACATTTCCATTGCTCTTAGCAAGAGAGGACGGGAGAGAGAGAGAGAAACATCGATCGGTTGCCTTCTCACAGATGCCCCAGCTGGGGATCGAACCCACAGCCTTTTGATTTACAGGACGATGCTCCGACTCACTGAGCCACCCGGGCCAGGGCTGGGGGCAACACTAGTACCCAACGCACCTCCTCTGTCCTCCGCCCGTCCGCTGCCTGCCCGGCCCCTGCCACCAGCCCCAGAAGCTCCAAGCAGCACTGTTCTGACAGCAGCTTCCGTTGAAGTCGCGTTCGCGGTGACGGCTGTGGGCACAGCCCCTGCACTGCCGGGCGGGGCCCTGGGACGCGAGGACCACACGGGTTGGCCCAGGGCCGGGGGCCTCTCCACTGGGAGACGGGAGGGGGCGCCGCGGGCCCATCCTGCAAGGGTCTGCACAGGCCCTGCCAGCGCCCGCTGCGCTTGTCCCTCCATGCGGAAGCCGGTCCAGCCCGACAGGCCGCGGGGCAGCGCTGGAGGGAGCTGGGTGCCCACGGGGGTTGCCTGCCCCACGCTACGGGGAGGCGCCTCACCCTCCCGGCGAGACTGGGGGCCCCTCCGAGGCGCACTAATTCACCTGAGCTCCAGGGAGGGTTTGCGCCCCGGGCGCCCCCGGCATGGGGGCTGCGGGCCCGGAGCTACCTGTCTTCAATAGCTAAGTGACCAGGGCGTCCAGCGACAGCAGCGGGGAAGACCAGCGTGGCCTTTCCCGGCCCCGGGGGACGGGGGCGCGGGCATGAGGGTGTCGTCCGCGGCGGACGGTGGCGGCTGCCGCGGGAGCGGGACGGAGGCACCCCGCAGCACCGTCCTGCCCGCGGAAGGGGCGCCCCCACTTCACGCCCCGCTCAGACGAGGGCCGCTCGGCCCTGGACCCTGCCGCAGGGCCAGGCCTTGCCCTCCGCCCGGCGCTCCAAGGCACCCGCCTCCCGCCTCGGTGCATTTCAGTTTTCACTTGGAGCGGGATGTGCGGGACCACAGCTTCCTCTGCGCCACGTCTCCCGGGGACCGGGGCCTCGGCGCACGGATCCGTGGGAGGAGCCGGAGCGGCCAGGGGGCTGGAACCGGGACCGGACACCTGGTTAGTAGGGACTGTAGGTCCTGAGGTGTCTCTGTCTCCATGGCTCCGCTCTCCCTGCAGCAGGAAGGCTACCGGAAAGAGCAGATCGCAGCCATAGGCCACAGGGAGGCGACCGAGGCTGGGGGCCCTTGAACTGTGTTGGCACGCAGGCACCACGGGCCCCGCTTCGCGGACGCCTGTCTTAGGCCAGCAGACACTTCCTAGACCAACACCAGACACGCTTCTGTGCTACGTCACAGCGGCGTGGACGGGCACACAGACGTGGGCCCCCAACGCAACGCGACCCCGGACGGCACCCAGGATGTGAGCGATGCCTTTATTGAGAACGTGTGCCGTGGGCGGCATGGGGGACGGGGTACTGGTCACTCTGTCCTGGCAGGCAGGAGGGAAAGGGCTGGCAGTAGGTCAGGGGTGCAAGGCTGAGGGTCCCTGAGGAGGGGCGGGGAGCAGGATAAAGTCCTTCATTTCTCTGAAGAGGGCGACACGAGGCTGCGTATGCACTTCCTTGTAGGGCGCAGGACCTGGGGGAGACGCTCCGGGAGCTCCAACGCCCTAGGCCCGCCGCACCTTCATCTCCGACACCTTGTAGCTGTAATTGTATCCTTTTCCCGTTTTCCAGTTGATGCCATTTGCGTAGCTATCGTGCTCGCCCCCAAGGTAGCGACCGTTGAGGTTCGACACGTGACAGTGGTTGTACCACCAGGCCCCGTGGTACTGCTCCGCACAGCTCGAGGGGTTTTGGTCATTGTTTTGGTCCTTGGTGGAGAAGGCCTGGTTGTTGTGGCCCGTCAGGGAGTCACCTGCTCGGAGGGAAAGGGAGACATGTACACACAGCGCTGGGAGGTCCCGGGAGCGGGCCCAGGCCGGAGCTGCCCGCTGCGCTGAAGAGCCCGGCCGAGCCGAAGGGAGACGCTCACGTGGCCCGGGGACACCGGCTCCGCCCATGCGGCGGCCTCCGCGTGCCCTCGGCCGGCCTGCGCCCCCCGCGCCATCGGACACGCACCCGCGTTGCCCCCCGCGAAGGCGCCCAGCTCCAGCTTGTACTTCTCGGCCTCGCCCCCCATCCTGAACGACTGGTACTTGGCGAACTGGTAGTTGCCCTGGAAGTCCACGAGGTCGACGCGGAGCTCGCTGGTTCCTGGGGACAGAGCGCTCAGGGCCCAGCCGGAGGGCACCCCTGCCTCCCGAGCTTGGCGACAGGTTTGGGCAGCACGGGGCCTTGGCACCCGAGGCACAGTGCCTCAGGGCCACAGGGCCAGCCCTTGGTGAGGGCCAGAAAGGCACCGTGCCTCCCGGGGGTGCTTCGCCGGGCCCCAGATCCCCGACGCGAGGTCACTGGAGGACGGTGGCACCCCCAGGCTGTCGTCCCCACCCCCCTCCCGCCCCGGCAGCGGCTGTGACTTCCTTCACAGCCAGCGTGGGAAACCGCTCCACCCTCCGCCTGGGAGGGCCGGCGGGGGGCCCGGCCTCGGGCCGGGGGCAGGCAGCAGAGGACGGGCCGCCTCAGGGGGCCCTGGCAGGTGAGCCCGGGGGTGAAGAGGCGGTGCTGGCTCCACGCTGCTGGGGGGGCCCTCGCGGGCGGGCAGGGCGGGGTGGGGGCCGCCTCCCTCCGCCCGAAACCCCGCTTAGGGGACAAGGGCTGGGCGTGGGGGGAACCCCGATACTCCACCCGCCCTGGCGCGAACGTTCAGCGTCTAGGAGGACATAGGCCCCGGCTGGGCCCAGAGAGCACGAGAGCTGGGGGCGCGGCCGTCTCCTCTCCCCCGCGGCCCCGGGCTGAGGTCGAGGCAGGGGCCCGGCCGCGGCCTACCCTGGGCGGTCAGGGCGTGGATGTTGTCGTTGCCCAGCCAGAACTCGCCCAGCTGGCTGCCGAAGCCCTGCTTGTACGCGGCCCAGTCGCGATAGAAGTCCACGGAGCCGTCGCTCCTCCGCTGGAACACCTGTGGGGGCGGGGGGGCGGGGCACGACCCGTGGTCACCCAGCAGGGCCGAGCGACCCGCGCGCCTCCGCTCAGACCCGGGGCAGCCAGACGGTGCCCCCCACCCAGTGACACAGGAGGGGTAGAGGCTCAGAGAGGGGGCTGACACGCCCTAAACCGCACTGTCCTCGGGGACGGGGCTCCCGGGGCCGTCCTGCACCCGGGGTTCACCCCACCATCTCTCTGGCTCCCTCCGTCCTCGGCAAAAGCGGGGGCGGACGAGAGAGGGGACTGGGACTGGACAGTTGGGCACAGGCCACGAGCGCGGGCCCTCTCGCCAGGCCGACCCTGGCGGCGAGAGACCCCGACGCAGCGGCCCGGCCCGCCCGCCGCCCGGCCGCCCGGCCGCCCGGCACTCACGGTCCAGCCCCCGCCGTCCGTGTCCATGTCGCACAGCACGGTCAGGGGCCGGCAGTCGGGCAGGTAGATGGTGTGCCAGCCGCTCAGGAAGTGCCCCCTGGTGAGCAGCTCCTTGCAGTTGCGAGGGCCTGAGGAGGGGCCGGGATGTGGATGGCGGGGCCGGGGCAGGGGCGGGGCCGGGGCAGGGGCAGGGGCCGTGAGCGTGTGCGTGGGCGGGGACGCCTCCCAGCCTGGGACCCACAGAGCCCGCGCCCCGGGGCACCCCCACCCTGGGGCGCCCCGTGTGTGTGCCCAGCTGCGGGCCTTCCGGGGACCGGTGTCCGTGCCTCCAGGAGACCTCCCTGGGCCACACGAGAGCCCTCTAACGCGCGCCGCCTCCTCGCGACGCTAAGGGTGAACGCGGCCGAGGGCCATCGGGGCCCTGCCCAGCAGTCGGTGAAGCTGGCCTTCTGGTCGACCCCCCGCCCCCAGCCGGGAGCAGGTCCCGCTGAGGTCCGAGGCAGGGGCACGGCCAGTCACCTGTGGCGCAGGTCTCGGACTGTATGGAGTCTCCTGCGTGTTGTGAGAGAGGACACACGTGTTCACCCACTGGAAATCAGGGTCCCCGACCTCCTCAGCCCCACTGGCTCCATGGACCCCGACAGAGAACGATCTTCCCAGGACACGCGGCGGCCGGCCTAAGGAGCGGGTCCCGCCCTCTCTTTCCGGGGCGTCGGGCCACGCCTGTGCGAGTCGGCGCCGCCGCATCTGGGCGTCGGGGCCGCGGGTCAGCCCTGCCCCCCAGGTCCACATGGCCCACACACCCCCCGACCCCTCACTGCTGCCCGGAGGGAGGGGGATGTGAGTCCCTCCCCCAGGGGACCGCACTGGGCACGGCTGCGGCCTCTGGGGGGCCCTCCCCTGCACAGAGCCTGCCGGGGGCCAGGGCGGCGGGTACGGAGGCTCACCTTTCTCTCCTCGTGCACCCTTCTCTCCACGTGCACCCTTCTCTCCGGGTGCCCCCATCTCTCCGCGGTCACCTGGAAAAGACGGGACAAGAGGACAGCTGATGCCAGGACTTCGGGTCTGTGGGACACCGGTATCCACTCTGGACACCACGCACTGATCTGCTGCCCCACGGGCGCGTGGGACGGGCCGTGAGTCCGCTGCTCCCAGCTCATCGCTCAGTCAGCTACGAAGGCGTGACCGTAGGCGTGACCGTGCCGGGACCTCCACGGGCGAACGGGAAGGGCGCCGTGAGCCCCGGTTCCTCCCCCGGCCGCGGGGAACTGGCCCGCCGCCCGTGGCCCCGGACCTGGGACTCAGTTCGTGCCCCATGTGCAGGCGCCTTGGTTGGAGCACGTGACAGGGTCCCTCTGGGCCTCTGTCTCTCTCCCGCCCTCCCTCCCTTCTCTCATTCTCTGTCTCTCTCCGTCTGACCCCGTCTCCTTCTCTCTCTGTGTCCCCGTCTCTCCAGGCTGTCTCTCTCGTCTCCCTGCCCCGCTCGTTCTGGCCCTTGCTCCGCTCTCACTGGTGGCACCTCTTTCTCCCTGTTCCACCCTGTCCGGGCGGCCAGGGAGACAGTCCCGGGCCCCCACCCCGGGGGTTTTGGCCTCTGCCGCGCGGTTACCTTTGGGCCCTGGCGGCCCCGCCTTCCCAGGTGCTCCAGGGGAACCCCGTTCTCCTGCAAATTCCAAACACGCAGCCTGAGGAAAGCGCGTCCGAGCCCTTCTCCTTGGGAACCTTCCCAGGGTGAAGCCTGAACGTCCCCCCAGCCCCGAGGTCCTCGGCGTCGCGGCCCCGGCACCGCCCGGAGGCGGACGTTTCCGGCGGCGACACAGCACCCGCGGCTCGGTGCAGAGCGGGACGGTCCGGACTGGGTCCCAGGGCGTCGGCCAGCGCCTCGGCGTGCCTCCTGGGCTCCAGCCTTGGACCTCTGGGCAGCGGGCCCAGGTCCCTCCGCCTGCACAGAGCTCTATAGCTGGCCAGGGACCTGGGACGAGGAGCACGTCCTCGGAGGCCCTGTCACCAGGCCTGCGCAGGACGTGGCGAGCGCCCGAAGCGGCGGTCCCCGCGGGGGCAGCCTGCTCCGCTCTGTGTCCGAGCCCCTGGGCTGGGCCCTCCGTGCGTTCGGGCCGGCCCTTGGCCTCACGCGGAGGCCCCCGAGCCCGGACGCCTCTTCGAAGGCGCGTCCTGCCTCCAAAGCGATGTCGCCAGCAGCTGGTTTCCCTTACACCCCGCAGGCCTGGCAGGATCAGCACCGGGTCAAATAGTCCGTGGAGACCGGCCCATGTGGGAGCTCATAAAATATTAGGGGCCCGGCTCTTATTTTCAGGCCCCGGGTGGACGCTGGCTCTGAGCAGGGCAAGACCCACGTCGCCCACCCCGAGACCCGCGGGGACGCGGACCCCCCCGGGTCCCCCGTGGCAAGGGCGAGAGCTCGCGGCCCCCCGTCCGGCGCGCTCACCTCTCCCTCCAGCGGCGCCTGCCTCTCCCTTGGGCCCCGCGGCGCCGGGCAGCCCCGGGCAGCCTCGCAGGATGGTGAGCTTGTCGGCACCCTCCAGCCCCAGCAGCTTCACCTCTGCAGGGAGCACGCGGGGCCGTCAGTGCGTCCGGCCCGAGGCCCCGCCCGAGGGCGTGTGCCTCGGCCCCACAGGCACCTGGGTGGTGGGCCCGGAAGTGAGGTGCCCGCCTCTGCCCCGGGCCCGTCCGTCCTCCCCTCCCCGGGGTGCCGGGCAGGCCGCGCCGGGTGCCGGGCGGCGCCCGGCCTGGCGTCCTCCCCGCCCGAGGGGAAGGGGCCCCCGGGGCCGGTCCTGGGGCGCGTGGCCCGTGCCTCGGGGCCCCTGTGCCTGTCTGCGGCCTGGGGCCCGGCCTCAGGCTTCGGGGAGGAAGGCACTAGCTCGCGCCCCGCTTCCAGGTCTCAGGGTCATCCTGACCTTTAGCAAGAGCTTCGTGCATGATGGGTACTTTCAATGAAGGGCCAATGTGGTCAGGGAGTCGGGGGGTTTGGGCCCCCCCTTTGATTGGGCCCGTGACCTCGACCTGCCCTAGCTGGGAGGGGTCCGTGGGCACAGGGCCAGCTCGGCAGAACCGGAACCGGAGATCTGTCCACTCCTTGAGTTTAAGTGTGTGGATCCCAAACCTGAATGGACCTCCAAAGAGATGACCTGGGGATTTGGGGTGACGCCGTGCCCTCCCGGGGCACCCGCTGACAGTCTCCCTCTCTTTCTCTTTTCCGTCCCCCCAAGAAGCCCTGCGGTGCTGGGTCTGCCCCGTCCACGTGTGGTCGTTCTTGGTGGCGTCCGCTCGGGCGCCGGCTGTCCTCAGCCACGGCCTCTCACCGCCCGTCGGCCGCTGGACCTGCCACTGGCCCGGAGGGAAAGGGAGACCCCGCCCCCTGCGGGCCCTCAATTTACTGAATTGGATGCTCGGGTTGTGGGCCAGGCCTCTGCACCTGTAACCCCCAGGTTAAGGAGTCTCGGGGCACCTCCCGGGGGCCCTTGCTGGCCGAAGGGAAGGACATGTGCCTCTTCCCAGCGGCACGGAGACCCGGCAAGCCCCGGGGGCCCCTCTCTGGCCTGGGGTCAGGAAGGCCTGGACGCACCGCTGCCACTCCCCCTCCCACAGGGCGCCCCCCCGAGGGGACGTCGGGCCTCATCAGAGGACAACCGTGTCGAGGCCGCACCCCGGGCGCCGCACACGCCCCGTGCGTGGCGTTGGCCGCGACCCGGGGCCGGGAAGGGCCAGCCCGTCTCACCTGGGCAGGTGTCGGCCGCCTGCGCAGCCAGGGCCTGGACACACAGGAGCAGGAGGAGCTGGCCCGCAGGCCCCAGGGCCAGCGCGGCCCTGCTCAGCCCCATGCTTTCTGGTCTTTGACTTGGAAGAGGCTTCTAGAACAGAGAATACCAGCCCAGCCCTGGGCCTGTTTCTCAACTCCCCTGGCGACGCCCACTTCCTGTGAGCTCTTTCGTGGCGGTGACTGGATTGAGAAGGGGGTTTCCTTCCTCTTGGGCCCTGCCCAGATGCCCGGGGAGCCGGCCTCCCTTCCCCGAGCAAGGACACCTGTGTGCCTGCAAGAGAGCCCCCAGGGAGCAGGGTCTGATGCCCTCGGGGTGTAAGGGTGGCCCACCCCGCGCCCCCTTCTCCTGGCCCAGCTCTACCCAAACCTCGCCCCCCACCCCGAGGCCTTGGCTGGGGGATACGGAAGGCAGACCGAAGATCTCTCCCTCCCTCCTCTGGTTTCCAGAATATTCAGGTTCCGAGCCAGTCGTTGGTCACTACACAGGGAAGAGAAAAAGCTCCAAGCGTGTCAGCACCGGCCCGTGGGGCGGGTCGCGTTGTTGGAATTTCACAGGCGGGGAGGCCGGTGTGTCCTGTCCCCCGAGCCCCTGAGGCCACACCCCGCATCTTGTCCTGTGAGCCGAAGGTGCTCAGCCTCGACGCGCTGCGGACATCGCTGAGGGGGTTCTGGGGATGCGTGGAGGGGGACGCCTCGGAGAGGGGGTACCCAGAGCTCAACATTCCTCTGGGCCAGTGTGGGGGCGGCAGCCCAACCCCTCGAGGTCCCCAAGGGGGAGAGAAATGGGGGAGCCAGGCCAGGGCGGTCGCAAAAGGGGCGCAGTGTCAAGGCGGACAGGAGACCTTAGGTCCACTGCTTGGGCACCGCAGCGACTCTAGACTTTGCTTCCACCTGTTGAGAGCGAGCGGAACAAGCCGGTGGCGTTGCCGCAGGGGCCAATGAGTGTCCCCTGGAGCACAGCGTGTCCCCACAGGCCGTCCGGCGGGGGCGGGGGCGGCGCTGCGTGGGAGCAACCGCTCCTGGCGGCAGGTGGGGCGGGGACAGAGCGGGCAGGCAGGCCTGTCCGTGCGTCTGGTCGGGTGTCGACAAGGCCATCGGGGAGGGACTGTACAGCCCTAAGAGCATGTGGACTTCACAGCATGAGAGGGCGCAAGGTTTTCACAAGTTCGCAGAGCGACCGATCGACACCGTGTGGTCCATGGAAGTCATTCAACTTCTGGCTCCTGTCCCACGAGGCGTGAACAGACAAGCCGTTAACGGAGACATCGGCTCAAAGGCGTAGCCACATCCACCGTGTGGGAGCAACGGAAACCTGAAGAGGGGTTACTGCACCCGGGGCCTCTTTTTGCCAATCCCCAAATACAGCGGAGGGGCTGGCCGGTTACTGGGACCGCCCTGCAGTGCCGAAGGTCAACGCTGAGGTCCAGGGCCTGTCCGGGGAGCGGAGTGGGGGTGGAGTCCAGGGGGCTGCTCCCTGGGCATGAGGGTGAGGCTCCAGGAGCCGGTCTGACGGGGACCGGAAGGCACTTTGGGGACGTCTAAGGGTCCCCAGGTGCAAACGCAGCTCCTAGAACCCCATCGAGGTTTCCCTGCGTCACTCATGCCCCAGGGTCCTCGCTGGCACCAACGGAAACCTTCCCCCAGGGGGAATGGTACCGTCCCAGGACCTCGATGGCCTGCAGGGCGTCTTGTCTCCGTGTGTGACCTCAGCCACCCTCCCTGCGGGCTGAACGTATGGGGGCAGCTGGGCAGGGACGGTCCCGCTGCACAGGGGGGCCCCCTGACTTCAGCGTTCCCCAGGGACAGGGCCTTTGGAGACCCTGGCAAGAGGCCCTGAAGGAAGCAGAGAGGCCCACGCCTTCCACAGACAGACTCGAGGGCGTGCAGCGGAGTCCGGGACGGTGGAGGGGCCGCCGGCGGGCACCAGGGCTCGGCCTGCAGCGACCTTTCCTTGGACAAGCATCGGAGTAGCTGCTGTGCCAGAAGGAAGCAGGGCGGCCGCCACCGCCCCTGGGGATCCAGGTCCCTCAAAGGGCCTGTGGCGCTGACCTGTCCCGCCGGCGCCCAGGCGAGCTGGGGCCGCACCTTCCCAGCGCAAGGCTCCGCCCTTGAGGGAGGCAGGAACGGTGTCCTGGCCCAGAGGCCTGGCGGGGGATGCGCGTGCCCCTGGGCCTCCGAAGCCCCTCCACAGGTGGGCCTTGGAAGCAGGTGAGGGTGGGTCCCCGCCCGGGCCAAACACTGGTTTTCCTCGACTTTCCACCTTTCTGCCTCACCCTCCCAGCCAGGGGACAGGGTCCTCCGGGACGGTGTCAGCCAGCAGAGGGGAGCCACCCAGGCGGAGGGCTGGCCCCCTTGTCCGCTTCTGGGGTCTCTGGGGAAGCCCGCGGGCTGTGGTGCTCCCCGGAGCCACTGCCGACCCCGGCAACGGGCGCCGAAATGGCGGCGGGTCCCAGCCAACCTCTCGCCCTCCCGGGTTCCTTTGTCGCTCCCTGTCCTGATGCGCCACCCCGGCCTCTCCTCCCCTGCAGTGGGTTCAGGGGTCCCTTCCCACGGAGAGCACGTTCTTGCAGAGCGGCCTGCTGTGTGCACGGTGACCTGCCTCGCACGGGGTTGGCCCCGTGGGCGCCGCGAACCCTCACTGCGACTACACAGCGCCGGGCTGCGCTTCGGTCGCCGGGGATGGTCTGTGTCGGAGGAAACTGGAAGGTGTGGCTCAGGAGGCAGACAGCCCCCCGGACGCCCTGCCGGCCGCGGCCCGAGGCGCCGGCCCCGCGCACACTCTCAAGACAGCTCCACGGAAGGGCCCTGCTCGCCCGCGTCCTATTTTAATGCCTTAATTGAGCCCATGAGCCCCAGAGCACAGGGAGAAAACAAACCTTGCCCTGTTATCCTCCCGGTTGCACAGGAGAAAGGTCAGTGCTGCCTTCTGGAGACTCGGGGGGAGAGTCTCCGGAGGCAGAAAGTCTGTGTGTGTGGTGATGGTGGCTTAGCGTTGGGTGTGTTTTAAGGCTTGTGAACAGACTGCAGAAATCCAGAGGCGTCTCCCCCATGTTAGACCGGCTCCTCGGGTCCCTGCCCCGCCTGCTGGCCTTTGTTTGCAGTCCACGCTGCTCCCGGTCTCGCCGCCACGCCGCTGCCCGCTGGCCGGCGCGCGGGGAGGCCAGGTCGGGACGGGCACGGACCGCAGGACCACACGACCGCAGCCAGGCTGCGCGCTCCGGGGCTCTGGGGGCCTGGCCCCTGCGCAGGCACGTCTGCTCTGCCTGAAAGGGCGGGCCGAGGCTGCCTGCGACGTGGGCTCACGGCGGTGGGTTTCATTTTAAAACTCGCGTTAGGGCGGGGCCGGCCCTGCCGAAGCGTCCCGGGGAGTGGGCAGGATGCGTAACACTAACCGCAGACGCACGTTGCTACGGGAGAAGGACTGGAATGAAAGGGTTACGGTACGTAAGCGCCGTCTCCTAGCTTCCCTCACCCCCAGACATCATGTGGTCAGCAGGCCCTCTGCCCAGTGGAGGGGACACAGGGCCGGGACACACAGAGCTTCCTTCCGTCCCCCCAGCGCCCCTAAACCCGGTCGTCCCAGGGACAAGACGTGGCCGAGGGCAGGCGGGCAGGCTTGCAGACCCCCAGCAGCACGGTCCCGGCTGGGGCTCCTTCTCAGCTTCTACAGGGGACAGCTGCCTGGCGGGCAGGGAGGACCCAGGCACGGCCACAGAGCCGCCACTGCCGTCCTGCTCTGTGCCCGGGGAGACAGGGGAGAGCATGACCCAGCAACTCCAAGGGAAGGATCCCAGGGAAGCCTTTGATTGGCTGGCTACTGGCCAATCACCATGATGGAGGGAAATGGGGTCGTGCTGCCCTGCCAACGCAGGGGACCTTGAGCAAGGCCCGAGCAGGCTGGCCAACGGGGCTCTTCTGCCTGGAACGGTCCCCGTGTCAGCAAAGTTCCACGCCCCAGGAACCCTTCGGTCCTTCGCACTCCAGGGGGTGGGTCCCTCTAAAACTCAAGACTCCATCTAGCAATTTCCGAGTTTAGTGAGTTGGGTGAGGACGTTATAACCTGTTTTTCCGGCATTTCATTTGGAACGGTTTCCCACCACGTGTCTTAAGAAGAGACATTCAAAAGGGAACGACAAACAGGAACCGAAACAGGGTCAGAGGGTGTCCTGCGGTTTTTCCGGCCAGGAGCAAATCCCCACCCACGTACTTGGTGAAACAGAAACCACCGCTGGGGCACCGGAGTGCCCCCCCCGCCCCCCTCCGGTCCGCCCCTCGGGAGCGCCAGGTTCCTCTTCCCAGGGCGGCCGGCCCGGAGCAGCTCAGGACATTTGGGGGTAACGCGTGCTTTGGTGCCCGCCGCCGCAGTGTCTCCACACCGCACGTCCCCCCACGGAAAGCCGGGGAAGCCGCCGCAACAGCTCCCCTTCCTGATGGAGGTGGCCCTGGGTCCGGGCCGCCCAGACGCCTGGACGCTTCAGGTCCTCCCCTTCGGGACCAGGGCCCAAGCCGCCCCCCTCCCCCCAGCCTTTGACCTGCACAGATGGCAGGGAGAGCGCGTCTCGGCCGCCCCCGTCCCTGTGAGCCTGCCAACGGCAGGAGTGTCCCTGGAGGTCGCCTGGGTGCGCTCCAGACACCAGGGGCTGCCGGGAGGAGGGCCCCCGCCGACCGCACCGTCCGCAGGCAGGTGTCAACCCCGCTGACGTAAAGAGCACCCGCGATGACATGCGTGGCGCCGGGACAGCACCAATAACTTCACCGTCTCTCCTCACCCTCGAAAGCTGGGGGTCGGGGGCGGCCCTTCCTTCTGCTCTGTGCATTGGAGGGGCTCGAGGGCTGCAGCTTTGGAAGAAGGAAGACCCTGCCTTTTCCAGGTCACAGCCGCTGTCCCCCAAGGCCCCCCCCCTCCCAGCATCCAGCAGCCTCATGGGGCACTTTCCCTGGGAGGCTCAGATTTCAAATTAGGTTTGCTTCCTCCAGCAAAATCTCTGGTTTAGCTCAGCTGAGTAGACGCAGAAGATGGCTTGATTAAAATAATTTACGTTCTCTCTTAAAGACTGGCGAGCTTCCCCCTCCCGGAAGGCTC